GTCAAGAAGGCTAATAACTCAAAGACTGCACCATATCTGCTCTATTATCAGCAGCATTTGGATCACTGTAAGTTAACTGTATATATTTAGTTTAGGAGTTTACCAGGTTATCTGTATAACATGGTTTAAAAGCATCATTCAGTCGGATCCATTCAACAGTTCACCACCTATAAAGAAGTGCACTGTGATGCTCATACAGATGAAAGCTGATGTATGCATGTTTATTTGCAAAGTTCTCCTTGATCTTGCTTCAGTCAGAAGTGCGAAGCTAAAGATGATGCTGTGCACAGTCTGTGGGTTATTTAAACAGATGCATCCACGAGCACACCATCCTCTCTCACACATGATGAGAGACATGACATGTGGTTTCCTCACTTGAGCGCTCGGCAGGCAGAGGAGGAGAAAACACGGGCAACTTTTCCTTTTCTCTCTCTCCTCACAGGAAAGACGCGTTCCAGGCAGCAGCAGCAGCAACGGCAGCGGTGTGTACAGGATCTGACACAAAGAGAAATTATTATCATGTTTTAATCAACCTGACAGTGTTTAGCCCTGAAGGAGCATCTGCAACATTTTCTGGTAAGTGTCTGAAATATTTAAGATTTATGTTATTACAAAGAAAATGACAAAATCTATTTTTTATGCAGTTTAATTCAAATTAACACAGAGCTCTACCCTTTCTGAGAGGAAAGGCTTAATACTCCGAATGGAGACCCCCTGCAGTGTAATAGAGCCCATAGTCCTAATTTAAAGAGCTTCTTTCCAGCCAAATTCGTTTTTATCTAGTTTATTATTAAATGTCTGGTCAGCTGATGTGCATGCAGGCTGTGTTTAAGTGACCACCATAGCAGCCCTGCCATCCTGCTGAGCCTCTTCTGTGTTGTTGACTCACTGACCTAATACATTTCAGACCTTTGTTAGATATAATTATCTCACCCAGGAACGTTTTCTTCTGAGAACATAATAGAAATCTTGCCGGCATGATTACACCTGGAGCGCAGAGAACATATCATTTGTTTTGATGATCTGCATGTTGCTTCTGCATGAGTGATGCTGAAATTGGAACTTCCTGTTCCAGGTGAAGCTGTGCTTCTGCTTCTGACTCATGCACTCATGCCATGCACACATTGTCGTCAGACCTCACACAACTTCACTGAGGAAACCATGAGCCTTTTCCACCTGATGTGTTGGAACCATTTGTATCTTTAAACCAAAATAAGAGCGTGTGGCGAGACATGGGGGACTCCAACATCAGCCTCTTGGTCGCAGCATGTACAGAGATGCAGGAGAGTCACCCAACAGGAAAGCTGGATCATTATATGGACAGCTATGATATGGACTATGGCATCCTTCCTGATGACATCCCAGACACCACACAGGGCCAGGCCTTCTTTGTGGCCACCATTGTAATTGGAGCAGTCCTCGTCTGCATAATGCTCGTCTGTGGGCTGGGAAACTTCATGTTCATTGCCACGCTGACCCGCTACAAAAAGCTCCGCAACCTCACCAACCTGCTCATTGCCAACCTGGCCATCTCAGACTTCATTGTGGCGGTGGTGTGCTGCCCGTTCCTGGTGGACTACTACGTGGTGAAGCAGCTTTCCTGGAGCCACGGATTGGTGCTGTGCTCCTCTGTCAACTATCTGCGGACTGTGTCTCTGTACGTGTCCACAAATGCATTACTCGCCATTGCAGTTGACAGGTGAGTCTGTTAAGTCTTGTGAGCATGTCCCTGTGAGCATGTACTCAATTCAATAAGTCAATGCCTCTTACAAAAATCTTGCAGCATTATTGACAAAGATTTGAGTCCATGTTTTTGTGTCAGTCCTCTTCTCTGCCTTCACAAAACCTGAATAATCACACTGCTCTACAGCTGTGTCTTTTTATCCCCACAATATTTTATCTTTTGGACATCAGGTCTTCGTTTGACATTATCAATGTAGCCATATTCATGAGAGAGAGACAAAGATTTTCTATGATTAAAACAGGGAACAGATGTAATCATGTTCTTTTGAATGAAGATGGCTTTTATGAGTGTGTTATAAAATTTATAATAGCTGCTGTAAACTGTCCCTTACTACAAGCCTAATCACAATGGTTCGACTTTGTACTGGCTCACAGTCACTTGTTATTTTCACACCGGAGTGGATATGTTTCATCAGTTCATGTCCCAGTACTTCAGAAACCACAAACATGTGCCTTGATTCATTTTAGATTGTGAGGTTCCCATAAAATCAGCTCCCCTGCTACTCTGCTCAGCATGCACCAAGTATCTTGAGTTCATTTGTGTTTCCTTCTCTATCTGTGCCAGCTATGTTCATGCAGCGCACTGGCACAGGTTGAAAAATTCTTTAGACGTATTTAAAACAGACGTGTCGAGATGCAACACATGTAGTTTTCATGCAGATTTATCCAATATTCAAATTTACTGAGGCTGGACCAAGATTACATTTTTTGCATTAATTCCCACATTGAGTCTATAAAAAGTGTTCTTACTATGAGAAGTGAGATGTATGTTTGAAATAGAAGTGGACTGAATTTGAGTCCACATAGCTTAATTTAAGAAGATTGTCAGCAGATGTCATGTCATATGGGCATTTCTGGTCCCTTTATATGTGGGACAAACACAAACCTGCAGTGGATTTATTAGAGAGTAAGTGAGAACAAAAATCTCTGTTGCCCCAGACATTTTTTGGGGAAACCTTTCCTGCCAACCCCCTGATAAACTGTCCGAGTGACCTCATGTGAGAATACAGCAGGAAAATACATAGTGAGTGAGGAGCCGTGTTTATGATGTTTCCAACATAAGACGCAAAATGAGAAAAATACATATATGTCAGAATGAAAAAGGTGCCATACATGTAGAAGATAATGATTTGAACAGTGGAATTTGCACCTTACGCCCTGTCTCCTGGGTGACCAGGTGCCACCACCTGAATGTCCTGTCATTGTAAATTTGTCTGACCCGGAAAATAGCATCAGGCACTTCCGAGGTCATGTCTGAAAACAGCCTTATAGCACACGGTCAAAGGAAGCTAACATTATAACATTACATATGCTTTGTGTTGGAAGACTTTCTCTTCATTCTGTAGGGAGTCTCTTCAGTGCCAAGTCAAATGCATAAGTAAACACACAAGCAGAATGTCTTAACTGAATGCATCTGACTCCCTCATGTCAATACTGTGGATAATAAGCTCACAGGTACCATGTAAGAAGACAACAGGAAACTGAACAATAAAAAGGGAGGAAACACCCATCCTCCCTCAGATGTGAGTAAGTGCTTTTCATGGGGGCCCTTACATAATCAGGGCTCTGGTGCAATCAATGGGCATGTTCCATTATTTCGAGGACAGAGATAAGATCAGTGCTGATACACACAGGTTCAGCAGAGATCTTGACATGTCAAAGAATAGAACAGGTATGAATAATATGCTTAATGATGGCTGGGTTTCATTTGCATACTGGTATTGTGCATGTTGCTCATTGTCGCACAACCATGGCCTTGGGCACTTGAGAAGAACGGAGCCATAGTCTGTGCTTTTCCTGTGAAAGATGCCTATATATACAAAAACTGTAAAGGTCACTGGAGCAACAAAAGCAAAGTTTGTTGTGTTGCTTTTGAGAGGAACATAGTAACACAGCCCATAATAACACTCTATCGCTCTGAGCATGACACCCAAGGAATCAAAAAGAAATATGGCTCGGATTTTAGACGCTTTGTGAGGAAGAGGTTTATTTGTTTTATACCCGAAACGCAACACTGAGGCCGGATTATGTAGTCGCCAAAATAATGACTATGAATTATTGTTAAGTCTATAATTGTCCTGCGACTGTGGGAGCATTCAAACAGCAGCAGCAGCTTACTGACTGCAGCTTGTTACAGAGAATCCACAAACTAGTGTCAGATCACATACTTGTTACTTGCTGTACATTCAAATGTTATATATTCAAGTGAAGTGTGTATTGTAAAGTACTTTGAAATTACTGAATAGGAAAACATCAGAAATTCATATTTTGATCATGTTGACATGACCAGGACAATATCGTTAATTTGAACAGTCAGAAGATGCATTTAATTTGCACTTCTTAGCCAATAAATAATGGAATTAATAATTTTAATAATTAATAATAATAATAATTAAGATCATATCTTTTATTTGAAAACCTACACATTACATCATAAATGATAACATCATAATTCCACAGTGTCCTCAGCGCAGAGAAACATCTGCTGTGAGAATTTAAAATACATTTTTATTTTTATTTCACTGTAAGTACAGGTCAAAATAAACAGGAATGTCAAAACAGAGCACACTCACTGATAAATTTTTTTCAATTATGTCAGAGCCAGACTAACAAGCTCTTTCCCCCATCTGTAGTCTTTACACCTCCCGTTGCCAGCTCTGTAAATGCAGAAGTAGAATGGCATTAAGGTTGCATGCCTCCCCAAGGCCCGACAGTGCCCTTATGAAACCACATTTAAATTCACTAGTTGTTTAGGGGACTAATATTCATGCATGTGGGCACATTGCAGCAGACTCATAAATATCAGTCCCTTTAGGGGCAGTGTGTAGAATTAAGTGAAATCTCACCCTTCCCAACATGAAGAAGAACCTGTGGATAACTTCAGTCATGAAATCTCAAAAGGTTTCAGTTTGTCCAGTTTGGAACACAATTAAAAACATGGCAGCCTCCACAGAGAGGAACCCCCCTCCATGTAAATATTACGTTTTTAAATATAAACGGACCATTCTATGGTAAAGAAAACAACAATTCAGAAAAAAATGTCCACAGTTCATTACAGTATTTGTTCATAAATATTCTCGATGTCGTGAACATCATTTTGTTGAATTATAGTTGAATTTATTAAAAAAACATGTATTGGGATTGTGTAAATATTCTATTTTGAAATAAAATACTATTTTTAAGTAATGTTTTGACAATATGACAAGTGCATCCACATTAAACACGTTGACCTATTGATATTAGTTTAATCCGAGTTTATAGCCACTGTATTGATTTACATTTATATTACAGCTTGGGCCTTTTACAGGGAAGAAAGACTCCATTTTGTTTGACTCCATAAAAAGTACATTCCTCCCAATATGAAAAATTCACTTCACTGAATAATGGAGCATTGTGCATTGAACTTCAGTCTTCCATGCATGAGTCACATCTGTTGAGTCCACAAGGCACTCAGACTGTTATATAGAGTGTTTGATTGTATTGCGTTATATAGTCCCTGTAACCTCAATGCTGCAATGTGTCTGTGTTCTTCCAGGTACATGGCTATTGTGCATCCACTCAGGCCTCGTATGAAGTTCCAAACCGCCTACTGCCTGATAACAGTCGTCTGGATTGTTCCCATTCTGATATCAATTCCCTCTGCCTACTTTACCTCTGAGACCATGTACCCTCATGGTGGCACCACCCCGACCAGTCACAAAGTCTTCTGTGCACAGATCTGGCCTGTGGACCAGCAGGCCTACTACCGCTCCTACTTCTTGGTTGTTTTTGCCGTGGAGTTTGTGGGGCCTGTGATCGTCATGGCGATGTGTTACACCCAAATCTCCCGTGAGCTCTGGTTCAAGAATGTCCCGGGTTTCCAGACGGAGCAGATTAGGAAGCGGCTGCGTTGTCGCCGCAAGACGGTGATGGTCCTCATTGGGATCTTGATGGCATACATCCTGTGCTGGGCCCCGTATTACGGCTACACCATCCTGAGGGACTTCCATCCGACGCTGATCTCAAGACAAAAGAACTCACTGGTAGCCTTCTATATCATTGAGTGCATTGCCATGAGCAACAGTATGATCAATACCTTCTGTTTTGTAAGCGTCAAGAATAACACAGTTAAGCACCTGAAGAAGATAGTGCTGCTGCGCTGGAGGTCAACCTATGCCCCCAGTAAGACTGTGGATGAGATGGACATTAGGACCTCGTCCATACCTGTGACAGAGGAGATTGAATGTATTCACCTGAGGTGAAGAGGAGAAAAAACAATAGTCATTGAAAGTTGGACTATTGATCTACAGAAATTACATAAACGACAGTTATGATGGTGTTTAAAATATTTTGTATAGATCTCAAGCACCATGAAGCAGAGAGAAAAGTCCAACCCAAACACTACAAGGCTTAATTGGGCAGCAGAGCTCAAACTTCATTGGTTAGTACATACAGTTCTTCTATTTGGGCCATCATGTGAATGTTATTGTTGTGTATGCATTATGAAATATTGTAACTTGTTGTACTTCTAAAATATATAAAAAAGCTTGTTGATTTCTTACTTAACTTCAATGTTTGTATTTCCTTTACCTGTTTTGATGTGATTTCAGCAACTTAAAATAACTATTGATGCTAAAGAAATGCTTATATTGAGTGAGATTTCCTATTTTAATTGTTGTGCTTTCAATTAGGGATTTTCCCCTTAAAGTTAATGGTCAGGCTTTTTCCGTAGAGATGTATTTATTGTGGAATTATCTGTACAGAGGTTTGAGGAACCATTCAGCACATTTCCCACATCTTTTAAAAGTTGTCGATTTATTGCATTTTTTGATTATGTGTCTTTGAAAAGATTCAGCACATTTGCTTGCATGTTTTCTTTGTAGAGGAATGTTTAATAAATGACAAAACGCTGGGTAGAAAAACTCTTTTTCTGTTCTGTGTAGTGTAACATCCATGGACTTCATTGCATACAACATTAACCCTAACCTAAAATATTTGAGGGCAGATGCCCCTTAGAGGCCCAGAAGAGTTCTACTAGAGCTAGTTAGCAACTTAAAGTTTTGTCTTCAACTTGTGGTGAATGCATCTCACATTTTTGTGGGACTGTCAAGACCTTATAACTTATATATAAGGGAATATGGGAAAGTAACTCTATATGTTCGGCATGTAAATAAATTTAAAAAATGATTGATAGAAAAGCTGGCCAAGTTCTTCTCTCCTTTGCACCCTTGGGTCCCACTAAAGGCTTTACATAAATTCAAGCCATTATTATTATTATTATTATTATTATTATTATTATTATTATTATTTGCAGTAAGTGATTGGAATCATGTGCTTTCATGCTAAAACTTTTATCTTCTCTTCACTCCAGATTGTCATATACCCACCATTTAAGGGGTTTGGGGCAGTTCTCAGTTTGGGGCACATTTAAGGGGTTTGGGGCAGAGTGGAACAGTGTCCCAAGCTATCGTAAACCACTTTTTTTGTTTGAACCTGTGTCAGCACACAGGGTTAAGTGGCATGATATCAGATCGGTGAGCTACTAATCTATTAAGATGTGCAGGAAAAATCTGAATCAGAGTTCAACAATCCTAAGGGGAAGGTGACGACACTGTGTATCAGCCACTGTCCCTCAGGCAAAGCGGTTCACCATTTCAAATGTGACATGGACAGTTTTCTCAAGACGACCATGTGACTTTAATGACTCCTTTGGCCAGAGCAATTTCACTTTACTTTTTTCCCTCTACATCAAAAAACAGTACAACAATACTGTCAAACAGACAACAATATCTGCTCTCTCATATACTGGAATTTTATCAAATTTAGGAACACACTCACCCACACAAAACAGGAGCATTGACTCTTGAACTGAAATTTTATTTCATGCAAGATCTATTTGACATCATGAATCACCTGCAGTTCAAGCGGCAAACGGATTGAAAAAGAAGTCTGTCTTTACTCTTATTAGATTAAGTCCACGATGGAGCTAAGCCCCCTGCATGGGAAGTTCCATTTGCTTGATCTATTTCGACCAAACTACAGCTGTGTCTAGTTAAGCTGAGTTTGATTATCACTGGCGCACATCCACAATAATACATGCAAACCAAGAACACATCTAACACCAACAGCCCAAGCCCCTGTAAGACCAGGACTCCGTTTACTAGGACACACAAGGTGTTCGGAACAGAGAGGACAAAACAAGCTAAGCAGGTGTTACTAACTGTGACAGTACAACTTACTCGTGGCTACCTTGAGGTCACAGCTCATCATGGATGAGTGGAAACTGCAATCAAATCCTTCAACATTCATGAAAAGCAAACACCATGCAAAATAAAGTGAAGGCAATCAGCACAGAGGTCATCAAATTAAATTGCAGTGGAAAGACAGCTGACAAATGAACGCTTGCCATGCATCACACGTACAGTAGCATTCAAAGCTCTGTCACTGCGTCTCTGAAGAGTCGTGCATTTGACGGTGCACTGGGGCCCTTCAGGCACATCGCGGCAGAACTCAACAAACAGCAGGTTGCACATGGGCTGAAGACTCAGTCACTTGCAAGAGATTTGTCGACAAAATAGAACTCTACTCTGGAGATGGGGAAGTATATCTAAATAAAAAAAGATCCACTGATTGATCCATTGGCCCTGTACTCTCTCTCCCTCTCTCAGGTGAGTCACATCACTTTCAGTGACATTGTCAGAAGAGTAAGTTTGAGAGGGTCAGTGGTGCTTCCCACTTCCCACTGAAACAGACCCTCACCACAGATATTGGAATAGTGATTTGATTTGTGGTCCATTTCATTCCCATGAGATTGCGAGTAAGATTTATTGAGCATGACTTTGCAAAACATGGACACACATGGTTAGAATGAGACACTGTTGTAAATTTTTGATGTTTCCTGTGTTGATTGCAAAGCCTTGTGGATGAAAAAGTAGATATGTCTTACGTATTTTATCTGATATATATATATATATATATATATATATATATATATATATGAATCTCTTCAGGATCGCAATTATCTCTACAAATTTGAATGTACACATGTCAGACAGAAATAATGTGGAATGTTTATACAAGGCTCATTTGAGCTCTGGCTCTTTGTGATATGTATTTTGGCCACAAATGGTCTTGTGGATTTGAACCAAATGCATGTTGGGAGTTATGGACTAATGCACTTTAGGTTTCAGTCCTTTCATGGGATTTGTTGACTGGCAGTGCTTTTATCGTTGCTCTTGGATGTGAACCACCAGAGAAGCAGCCCTTCAGCCTGTAAGCTTAAATGTCATTACAATTAATTAATTACAAACAGTTTTAACAATTAATTGTTATAATTATGTAGACTTGTGTAGAGAGTGTAGTCTTACAACCACACACACACACACACACAAACACACACACACAAATTAACAAGCTCCAAACCAGTTGCCTGTGAATCAGGAACAGTATTAGTAAGATATTATCTGGAAGACATTTACTTGCACACATTGACCTTTTCTTATCTGACTAATGCATGGTGTGTGTCCCTCATATTGCTTCACTATGAGCTTAGTCATGTTTCTCCAAACTGAGCCATTAGATTGCTGTTTAGTGTGTCCACAGCTTGTGAGGGTTGTGGCCTCTTATGATAATTTTCTTGCAGCCTTGTTGGTCGGTGTTTGGAAATGTTTATGTATCATGACCAGGGCCCTTGCTTATTGTCCCCATTAGTCTGTGGGCACTGGCCCCTGTGGCTGAAGTGTTAGGGCTGACGTGTTTTCCCGTACCTCACATTACAGTACCAATACAGGAAAATTCTATAAGATTACATCCGAAAATTAATCCATACTCATTAATACAATGCAGGGGAAGGTACGAGGGGAATCTGTAATCGGTTGATCGATGATCACAATAAAACTCTCCCAGTGGGACCAGGTACAGAAGGCATTTGAAAGCCTCATCTCTTCAGTGCAAAGAGAAAAGACTCTGAACCCCCAGCACCCAGGGATTCTGGTTGCAGGCTGTAATAGTACCAGTGCTGTGTCATGTATCTTCATTCAGATCAATGCCTGATGCCTGAAGTTTTTTTGGGAATATGTCAGTATGTATGACAAACCTAAGTTGTATCTTCTTTACAGTAAAGTGAGGTAACATTCCAGATTGGATTAAAATATAACAAACCTGGCACAAAATTCCTTTCATTTAAATTATTTTGATGTTTCTGGAATGGTCTTTTTGTTGTGTCCCATGAAATACTCTGCTTGCAAAAATTATGTTGCAGTTGGATGAACTCCTGCCATGATGAAAACAGATACCATTTGGCATTCCCGCAATGCTTGACTTTTAGCAGTCCTATCAGATGTAGATCTGCTGGTTAATGATGTGGAATTTTCCTGGTTTTCTTTTATTCTGCCACATCTTCAGTGTGACTCAACTTTTTACAATAAGCCTGATTATGCCACCAACTGTGATACGCCATTTTTGCATGAAACATATCCACTGAAAATCCATCTTTAAGTCTAGCGATCAGCATGCCTGTAAGTTGGCTCTAAAAATTTAGCTGGAGTATTCATTGACAGCTGCACTCAGCTTGGATTCACACCAATGTTGATCCAGACTCTCAGCAAAAAGCCCTTTCAATACAAATCAGGATGTACATAGCCTGCAGTAACCCACTTCTATGCCCTCGGTCTGTTTGGGTCATTTTTTCCAAATTCTCACTACACGAAGCTCCGTTAATGCATCATTGTCCTCTCCAAGTGTGAAAGTAGCACAATTATTGGTTTCAAGACAAAATGAAAACAGTTTTCTTATGATTATAGGTAAGCCAACCATTTTCTGCCTTCTCTCAAAAGACCAGTATGAGGGTGCTTCCACTATCAGAAGGAAAATAAGCTTTTCCCTACACTCTCGACTCCCTTTCATGAAGACACAGAGGCAAGGTTCTCCTCCGCAGATCATCAGATAGATAGGTCCAGCCAGGAGCAACCATGTTCATCAAACAAATGACTATTAGACATCAAACCAGGGCAGTCAAGGCCACCATCTCTTAATAGCAGTTTAATGTGCTCTTCCCTAACCTCACATGGCCCACAGCTTTGCCGGCAAGACGCCATGTGACAGCAAATCATTAGTCGATCATGAATAATGATCCTGATTTCAGGCTTGGTTTGTGCTCACCAGACAACAATTAGATTAATACTGTTCCTTTAACAGTTTAAAAGAACAACCGACCATTTGTCCCCCTGACCTTTGTTCTATTGGCGTCTCAAAAAGCCAGTGGT